AAGAATGTCACAAGGGGTTCAGGGTCCTGGCTTTGTGAACCCTCACAAGAACCCTGAAAGGAACCCTTACAGAAATTCTTAAAGGAACTCTAAAAGAAATTCTTAAAGGAACCCTCAAAAAGACTCCTCAAAGGAACCCGAGAAAGGGAACCTTCTTTGAGGTTTGGGCCAGCCGGACCTTTCTCGTTCTGGTGCGCATCTCAGCAGGGAGCTGCCGGGTTTAGGGTGGTGTCGAATCCACGAATCGGGAGCTTTAGGTTAAGGGTTTAGGGTTTAGGGTTAATAGAGAGGTATGAATAGCTCTTAAATAGTAGACTGTCCCCTTATACGCTGTAGTCGCTGTAGTCCCTGCATAATCACCGGATTTAGGGGTTTTGAGGTGGAGGCCTGAACAACTCGCAACGCTATCATATTCCTCGGTGGTCTTTCACCTCCTTCATGCAGAGAATCCTAGTCGAATGTCTCAGGCCTCTTTCCCCGGGTGAAGGGATCCAAAAGGGAATCCTTTGAGACCCAGAAGCCCTGAACCAACGCCCGAACAGAATTTGAACCTCTTAGAGCCCCTGTAGCACCCCATATAGCCCGATAAAAGCCCCCACAAAATCCTACAGGCATAAAAACCTTTTAGATCCGTAAGGGCCCTGATGCAAAAGCCTGAGTAGTTACCAATGCCATTCATTTAAGGCTCAACACCAAACTCCTCAAGACCCCTGTTCTACTTAATAAGATCTCAAACTATAAACCCTTATCGTTAGTATAGTGTTAAGGCGTAAAGATACTGTACCAGACTATACCCTGAGACCCTATTCCTTCCTATTAAGGCCCCTATGTTAAGGCTTAAAGATACTGTACTAGACGATACCCTGAGATCCGATCCCTTCCTATTGAGGCCCCTATGTTAAAGCTGGCGTCACCTCCATCGTGGCCCTGGCGGAGCTCCGGCTTTCCAAAAGCGCAGAGGAGGGCACAGGAAATGGCAGCAAGGCGGGGCAAAAGCACAGGGGGCCTTGGCAAGTTCAATAAGGTTTTGAGGGGTCTCATTTTTCAGTTTATTACGAGCTCCAGTGCTTTAGGGCTTGAGGCTTTTAGGGCCATTCCCATAATGACTCCTTGAAGGATGGCCGGGGGAGGGCGGGACTTAGGAAACAGGGCTGTAAGGTCTGAGCCTCTAGGAACTCCTAGTCTGCAGGGTTTAGTAGGGTTTAGGGTCTAGGGTTTAGGGTTTAGGGTTGTTTGTGTAGGTTAAAACGCTCTTGAAAGGTGCCTCAAAGAGTTGCTAATGCGGTTTCAAGAAGAGGCTCAACAGGATTTGCACAGGGTGTTAGAGGGTTGAGGGTTTACGCAAGCTGTTAGATGTGAAGCCCGACCATCTTCAACCCTGGGCCGTAAAGCCCTGGACCCTAAACCCTTGAACCCTGCACCCTTAAACCCTACACCCCTAAACTCCGAACCCTACACCTCTTATAGAACCCTTGTAGGACACCTTATCAAACCCCACGTAAAAGCCACACCGATCCCTAAACCCAAAACCCCAATCCTCTTAGAGAACCCTGATAAGGAATGCTTAAGGATTCCGTAGAGGCAACCGAAAGCCATGGTCCTGAGCCGAAGCAGACCGATCAAAATTGCCAGTGAGAATCGTCCTTTATGACTTTGACTTTAGTTTGAGATAGTTGCTGTGATTTCGGGCTCAGGGGCGCAGGAGTTTCTGAGGTTTTGGGTTTGGGGTTGCAATTAGGCCAGCAGTAAGATGAGAGTTTCAGAAGTTGGTGGAACGTTTGTTTGCCCGAAAATACAAGGCTCCTTTTGGACCCCTAGTTTGCATGTTGCAAGACTACAATGTTGAAAGCACATGACGTCGGGCTTGCTTAGGTCCTGCAGGGTTTTGGGGGTTCTGTTTACTGGAGACCCGTGATCAACAACCGCCCATAGATTGAAAGGGTTAGAATAGAGGTCCTAACATTCAGGCCCTAGCAGAGGAGGTTTCTTGTAATCATGGGCCTACATTACTTTAGTTTTCTGCATTGAGATGAAAGCAGCATGGACGGTATCGTGACGTTGCACATTCTCCTATGTTTTGAATGGCCCTACTACACCCCACACCCTTAAACCAATTTTGTCTAAACAAGTATGTATATGAATACGTATGTATGTAATTATACCTGTAAATATAGATGTGCGCATGCATGCCCACAGTCTGTATGACACCGAACATCCTAAATTACCCACCGACGGGGCACCAGGTAGCTGACAGTGCCCACCATCATCATGGGTGCAGACTGGCTTCAGGCGCCCTTGCTGGAGCTCGGTGCGGTGTGTGACAGTGTGGGGTTTATATGGCTTCATAACCTACTGGTTGAAACAGGCTGAAAGGGGTTTTCTACGGGTCCTTCGTGTGTGTGTGTGTGCCTGTCTGTCTGAGTCTGTCTGTCTGTTGTCTGTCTGTCTGTCTGTCTGTCTGTCTGTCTGTCTGTCTGTCTGTCTGTCCGTCCGTCTGTCTGTCTGTCTGTCTGTCTGTCTGTCTGTTTGTCTCTCTGTCTGTCTGTTTGTCTCTCTGTCTGTCTGGGCCAAACCCTAACAGCTACAGCCCTAGACCGCAAACCCTCAAAGCTCAAGCCTCAAATGCTAAAAACCTGAACCCCTGACCCCAAATCGTTGTAACGTAGGGGCCTTCAGAATTAGAAGTATATTCATAGTGAACCCGTACAGGGGAAACACTTCGAGACTCATGGATAGTTGTAAGTAGAGTTACAAGTAGGATACCTGTAGCTACAACCTGTACTAGGGGACTTACAGCCCCACTTATAGCTACCCATGAATTTCCAAGTAGAGTGAGCCAAGCCATCCGGAAGCGGACTGTGGGATTGGATGAGTAGAACAGAGGTTGGGGCCTTGGTATACTGTGAGTACTTGCAGCTTACAGTCGTTTTGGGCCAGTTGCTGCCGCCCATACAAGACTTGGGGGGTACTTAGAAGTACTTCTTAACTTTTGGTTATTATAATCCCTAAGGCCCTCAGAAACAGATAAAACGTGTATTCTTTGCAAGGGTCTCAAGTTCAGTATAAAAGAATTTGCGGGAGCCCGGCAGCCAGCAGTCCTGCGTCGAGGGTAAGGCTATGCACGAACAGCAGAAGCTCAACAGCCAACGATTCGTTGGAGGGTTGTCGTTTGTGCGTGCAAAAATCATGTCCAATTGAAATGAAATTCACCAGCGCATATTCGTTCCTCTGGCTTAGGTTTGTAGCATGTCACGGTTTCTTGCTGCGAGGGGAAGACCAAGTACACACTCTACCAGAGCTACGACGTGGACATCAGCACCTTGTTCGTTACAGGCCAGGATCACAGAGAGACTATGCTGCCGCGATGGTTAATTGCAGCAAGGCAGAGCATGGAATAACAACAGCTCTCTATGCTTGTACTAGAAATGGCATGCTGTCGGCGCTCCTGTTCTTGTATGCTGCGAATAGGCAGGTCTGTGTTCGGTGGATGGAAGCTTTGTGTGGTGTGGAGCGGTTGTCTGGCAGTAAATCCTGCACAGACTGCACAGTAGTGAGATTCTGGGAGCACGACGGCACTGCAGCTTGTCGGGCCCATTGCATCCAAGCTGCCGCGATGAGCCATGTGGGTGGTTGTCAAAATTATGGTCCCTTCTTGGGTCCTTATTATAATACGGCACCTATTATTTAGGGTACCCCAAAAGGGACCATAATTTTGACAACCACCCATGTGTTCATGCATCTTGCCGCCGCTTGTCTGTCAAAGGTAGGGCCGCAGCACAGAACGATCAGTCGCATAAAGGCCTCGGCAGTTCATGGCATGGGTGTGTTGATAACTGAACGGCTTCCGGAAAGGCTTCGGGGCACTTTATTGGGAGGCTTTGGAAAGGCCTTCAGTTGCTTGTGGACTTAAGGGTTTAGGGGGTTTAAGTTGGGTTTAGCGTTATGTGCCATGGTGGAAGCGGATGCAGCGCACCCGCTTTCCGTGATGAGCTTGCCCATCCTTGCAGAGCTGGTGCTTAGGAAGCTGAACCGATGTCCCGGAAGCATCGCTCAGATCGCTCAGGCGAAGACGAAAGTGCCGCACAGACGTGCGCAGGAAGGATTTGGCAGTGGCACTGCCAGTGTACATGCAGGACTCCTGATACCTCTGAGAATTGCGCCGTCGGCAGCCCTATCAGAGCAAGTGAGGGTGACAGGAAGATCTGTCGTCCTAGTTTCGGGCCGGGTTTGCCCACTTATCGTTTCGGCCCATGCAACACGTTCCCCTGCGTCACGTCGCCATAGCACAGCACCGTGTGCTTAGCGTCCTCTTCCTGGCAGTCCAGATACGGAGAGAGCTTGTTGCGCGGATGCTTCAGAAGTGAGCGGTCGTGTCATCCTGTTTCTTCATGTGCTAAAGAAAATGCATTTGTCTTGGACCTTGCCGTGTGTTGTGGTTATGCTGTGAGGTCTAGTTTTGTCGCAGCAGGGCCATCTGCAAAACATGTCCGCGATGCGAGCCGCATGGCTTGGCTGCTTACCACAGGAAGATCTGTCGTCCTAGTTTCGGGCCGGGTTTGCCCACTTGTGGCTTCGGCCCATGCAACACGTTCCCCTGCGTCACTTCGCCATAGCACAGCACCGGTGTTCTTAGCGTCCTCTTCCTGGCAGTGCAGATACGGAGAGAGCTTGTTGCGCGGATGCTTCAGAAGTGAGCGGTCGTGTCGTCCTGTTTCTTCATGCGCTAAACAAAATGCATTTGTCTTGGACCTTGCCGTATGTTGTGGTTGTGCTGTGAGGTCTAGCTTTGTCGCAGCCGGGTCATCTGCAAAACACGTCCGTGTTGCGAGCTGCAGGGCTGGGATGCATGCCACAAGCAGAGCCGTCGTTCTCGTTTCGGGCTGGATTCGCCCACTTAAAGCTTCGGCCTATGCAACGCATCCCTCGGCAGGTTCTTCACTTCCACCAGGCGCAGCACCGGTGTGCTTTACATTACGGTGCAGATACACGCAGTGTTTGTTGAAGAAGCGGCATCCGCCTGTTTCTAGGTGGGAAAGCAAGCATTCTCGGTTGGATCTTGCCATGGCCAATGCCGTGCCTTGCATTTGCGCCGTGAGATTTAGCCTTCTCTCAGCAGGGTCAGCTGCAAAACACGCCCGCTTTGCGAGCCGCATGGCTGGCATGCTTTTCACAAGCAGATCTGTCGGGTGCGGTGCAAAGCACGCCCATGTTGCGAGCCGTATGTCACAGTTGCTGAACACAAGCAGATACAGAGACAGCTTCTTGCACGGATACGCCAGCACTGAGCGGTCGCACCATCCTTTTCTTCATGGCTTAACGAAGATACACTTTTTCTTGGACCTTGCCATGTGGTGCCGTTGTGCTGTGAGGTCTAGCTTTGTCGCAGCCGGGTCATCTGCAAAACACGTCCGTGTTGCGAGCTGCAGGGCTGGGATGCATACCACAAGCAGAGCCGTCGTTCTCGTTTCGGGCTGGATTCGCCCACTTAAAGCTTCGGCCTATGCAACGCATCCCTCGGCAGGTTCTTCACTTCCACCAGGTGCAGCACCGGTGTGCTTTACATTACGGTGCAGATACGCGCAGTGTTTGTTGAAGAAGCGGCATCCGCCTGTTTCTAGGTGGGAAAGCAAGCATTCTTTGTTGGATCTTGCCATGGCCAATGCCGTGCCTTGCATCTGCGCCGTGAGATATAGCCTTCTCTCAGCAGGGTCAGCTGCAAAACACGCCCGCGTTGCGAGCCGCATGGCTAGGATGCTTTTCACAAGCAGATCTGTCGGGTGCGGAGCAAAGCACGCCCATGTTGCGAGCCGTATGTCACAGTTGCTGAACACAAGCAGATACAGAGAGAGCTTCTTGCACGGATGCGTCAGAAGTGAGCGGTCGTGTCATCTGTTTCTTCGTGTTTTGGGGCCTTGGAAGTGCTGGGCGGCGCCGTCGGGGCGGCGCTGGCCCCCGAAGATGCGTTTGTTCCTGGACCTTGTCATGCGTTCCGGTTGTCCTGCGAGGTCTAGCTCTGTCTCAGCAGGGACATCTACAAAACACGTCAGTGTTGCGAGCTGCAGGGCTGGGATGCATACCACAAGCAGAGCCGTCGTTCTAGTTTCGGACTGCATACTTATCGCTTCGGCCTATTCAAATTATGCCTCTGCCTCGTCCTCAATTCGACCGAGCACAGCATCGGTGTGCTTTTCCTGGCAGTGCAGATACAGAGAGAGCTTGTTGCACGGATGCGTCAGAAGTGAGCGGTCGTGGCATCTGTTTCTTCGTGTTTCGAAGAAGATGCATTTGTTTCTGAGCCTTGCCATGCGTTCCGGTTGTGCTGTGAGGTCTAGCTTTGTCGCAGCAGGGTCATCTGCAAAACACGTCCGTGTTGCGAGCCGCATGGATGGGCTGCCTACCACAGGCAGAGCCGTCGTCCTAGTTTCGGGCTGGATTCGCCCATCTATCGCTTCGGCCCATGCAACCTGTTCCTCTGCGTCACTTCGCCATAGCACAGCACCGGTGTGCTTAGTGTCCTCTTCCTGGCAGTGCAGATACGGACAGAGTTTGTTGCACGGATACCGTGTGTGGTCGCGGCATTTGACTGCTTCTAGGGAGGAAAGTACGCATGCTCGCTTGAACCTTGCCATTGAACACAGCTTGCCTTGTACATGCGCTGTGAAATTCAGCTTGCTCTCAGCAGGGTGCGATGAAAAACACGTCCATGTTGCGAGCTCTATGTCACGGCTGCGGACCAGAAGCAGAGCCATCGTCCAAGTTTCGGACTGGATACTTATCGCTTCGGCCTATTCCAAATATGCCTCTGCCTCGTCTTCAATTCGACCGAGCACAGCATCGGTGTGGTTTGCCTGGCAGTGCAGATACAGAGAGAGCTTGTTGCACGGATGCGTCAGAAGTGAGCGGTCGTGGCATCTGTTTCTTCGTGTTTCGAAGAAGATGCATTTGTTTCTGAGCCTTGTCATGCGTTCCGGTTGTCCTGCGAGGTCTAGCTCTGTCTCAGCAGGGCCATCTACCAAACACATCAGTAGTGATGAGAGCTGCACGGCTGGGCTGCTTACCACAAGCAGAGCCGTCGTCCTAGTTTCGGGCTGGATTCGCCCATTTATCGCCTCGGCCAATGCAACGCCTTCTGCTGCACCTTCCTCACTTCGACAGCGTGCAGCACCGGTGTGGATTGCTTGGCAGTGCAGATACAGAGAGAGTGTTTCTAGACAGGAAGACTGGCATGTTTCCTCGTTTCTGGAGCTGCTTCTTGGTGCTGGGGTTGACCTTCTGCATTCCCTGCACCGGGTCCAAGCCGCAGCAACGAGGGATGCAGTGATTCGTAGTTCCGGATGTGCGTGCTGGACGTGGGCTTCACCGGGCATGACAGAGCCCACAAGCAGAAGCATCGTCCCAGTTTCGGGCTGCATTCGGCCACCTGTCTCCTTGGCCTGTGCAATCCGTGCCTCTGCCCTTCTCGTGGGCGCAGCACCGGTGTGGATTGCTTGGCA